CCCCCCCCAGCCTTAGCATCATATATCTTAATTTGGAACCATTCTTAGACTAGGCCTTCTTCACCCTAGGTGGCCATCTGCCCAGCCCTACCAGCCTCACCATATGATACCAGAAGACACTCCCCTCCCTCATGTTAGGTGCTCCTATCTGGGGACCCAGTCCCCAGGCAAATGCCTGCATATTTCACACCTTTCAGAAAGTCCTTCTTACTGTCTGATCTCAGTCCTTCTTGCTGCAGCCCCAGCCCTTATCTTCTTTGTTCTAAACCTTTGATAAATGAAGAAAGGGGAAACTTCTGAAGCACTAGTTGGTTTGGGACCAGGTTTGGGGACTGTCACAGACCAGAATTACTCCCCGTAACACTCTCCATCCAACTTCTGGAAAAGTTCAACCTTAGCCAGCCATGGAAGGTAAAACATTCAGTGTCTAAGTGTGTTTCACTTCCCTTCCCACACCATTGGCCCTGCCCCCCACTCTTTCCCAGGACAGCAAGGAAAGAGAAGGGGGCCGGGGAATGGCACAGAGAGGGCTTCTTATACTCTGGTGAGGTTGCAGAGAGGTTCCTTTCACCTAGGATGAGCCACCACTGTGGGAGGTTTGTATGTTGCTACAGCCCTGAGAGCTCAGACGCTGGCTGCCACCCTGGATTGGGAGACAGAGAGGGAAGAGCACTGGACCGGGAGTCTGGACACCTGGGTTGTACTCCTGGTACTGCCACTGAATCCTGACTGGACTTGGACAAGTCTCCTTCCCTGTCTGAACCTTAATCCTGTCTTCTCTAAAATAAAGAGCTGGGCTTTGTGATTCACAAGGTGTCCCCCTAGGATTTGGTCATGGTGGTGTTCCAGCCCCAGGAGGCTCTCCAGACCCTGTACCTGCCCCAGCCTGCCCTGAGAATATGCCCTAAACTCCATGCTGTGCGTGACTCCTGCCTTTTCTATCCAGACCCCAATCTAAACAATCTTGATTCCTGTTCCCAGCTTGGCGGGACCCTGAATGGCAGGAAGTGAAGACAGGAGCCTGTTTATGTTTGAGGCAGC